GGCTCACTTCCTTCCCTCATCTACTCCTTACATCCCCTGCAGGAACCTATGTCTCCACCAGAGATGTGCCTCCTCTCTGTCCATCTCTCCACAAACAAAACTAAGAAGTGGCCTGTGTTTGATTCCTCCCATCGCCACTCTTGCCTCTACCTACCTTCAGACCTTGCCCTCATCTGGAGCTGGATTCTGGCAGTTGTTGGTCATGACCAGAAAAAGACTGAACAAAGGAAATTAGGTTCAGGGATCTCTTTCTGAATGGAAAAGGGTGAGATATAGTATAGAAATGACTGAATAAAAAGGTGAACTGCTGAGTCTACATAGCCCCTAGTCTCATATATTATATATTACTATGGAATTTGTAAATTAATCCAAATTTAAGGTTATTTTTGTTATATTGCATATATGTTCCTACTCTTTTTTAAGATATTGTACTTATGCAGATCTCTTAAAAATGTAATATATGATTAAGAAACACAGTTAGTCATCTATAATAATCAAACTTGCAGCCATGTAAAACATGTTTTAAAGGTTAAATGGGGATATATTTTAAATAAGTAGGTGGTCTTCAAATACTTCAGAGACCTACGGAATATGACATGTATGGTGTTTCAGTGACCTAAGCTTTTCATGACAGTGAGACATATCTTCTCCTGGCAGCACCAATCTACTTCATAAAAGAATTATAGGAACTGAAGAACCTCCATATGAAGTTTGCATTTTTGTGGCAAAAGTTAGCCACTGGGCAAGAAACTGCCCTTGCTTCAACTGCTGACAATGTGTTCTACAAAACAGATGAGCAGGACACACAAAATAATGATTGCTGAAAATTGCCAAGACAGGGTAGACAGTCTATCTAATTCCTGCCTTACAGAAAAGTCTGTCAGATATGCTAGGCTTGTAGGCTGAAGATGGGTGCTACAATGTTGCAGAAAAAACTTGCATGACTGTCCAGGCAGTCAGATGTCTCTGTCATTTCTATAATATTAGAAGTTTCTTGTTCTGTACTTCCTATTTACTCCTGTTTATATTCTTCTGGGTCTCTGATAGAGTTGAGACAAGATATTATGGTTACAATTTTTCTTGTTACCAAGTTCAGAAAAGAAATTCTCAAAAAAGAGTTATAAATTATATAAGGCTGAGAGACATAAAAGTTTAAATTGTTTATCAAAGAAAATGTTTTGAGGTCTAAAAAGATAGTTTTGGTTTGGTAATACAGGTTAGGTCAACTCACCAAATGGGATAGATAATGGGATATTTTCTCTGAATTTGCCCAAAACAGACAGACTGGGTATTGTAAATCTAATTATTACCTGATAATTATTCTTACTGTATATAGTTTTACTGTGTTAAAGTTAAAGCCTTTTCTTTTTATTTAGACAAAAGGGGGAAAATGTTGTGGGATATTAGTTTAGTGTGTGACGATATATTGCTGTGATTGGTTTAATAAAGAACTGAATGACCAATAGGAAAGATAGGTGGAATGTTCAGGGAGAGAAAGAAAGAGAAGGAGGGATCAAGGGGCAGGATGTGCAAGACAGAAATGAGGTAATACCCCAATGACAGAATACAGCAAAATAAATGTCCAAACTGAGTCAACTTTATAAGACCAATACTGGAATTACCTAGTTGGAGCACAGCAAAACACCAGGGATTATGTGACCAAAGTCCTATAAAAACCTAGCAGTTGTAGTGTAGAATTGACAGTATTTTTCCCTTTACAGGGTCTTGGATGTACTTGGTAGAAGCACACAGCCAGGAGAGGACTTTTTGACCCTATTTGGATAGGTGTGGTAGTGCCCTAGCTTAGTGTTGACTAGGAGGCCTACTCCACTGAGTCAGTTTGCGAGTAAGAAAACCAGATTTTTTTTTCAGAAAAGAAACCTGAGATACATCTGATTTGCAACTGTCAACAAAATTAGAAGAATTTCCCTTGGCAATTTTCAATTAGGGCAGTGCCATTGTGTAAATGCTTATAATGTTTCAGCTAAGTCTAAGCTTTAGAATATATACATAAACTATACCTCCCTTGCCCCATATAAGTATGTTCCTTATTTTCATGCATATTTACTTTGTGGCTAGTCTAAATTACCTGTGTTTTCTGCAGTTTAGATCTGTCTTCCCCTTTCCTACTGTCTTTATAAATATAAATAATTATAAATATAAATAATTATAAATATAAATAAATATAAATATGTTTATATTTATATGAGGCCAGGGAGATAGTTTAGTCAGAAAAATAACTGCAATGCAAGCATGAGCCTGTGAGTTTGGATCTAACACACACACATACATACACAATAACCAGGTGTGGTGGTGTAGTATATCTGTAACCCCAGTGCTGAGAAGGCAGAGACATGCAGGTCCATGAAGCTCTTTGGTTACCCAGCTGAGCTGATATAATGAGCTCCAGGTTCAATGTCTCAAAAACAAGATGGAGAACAATTGTAGAAGACCCATGACATCAGGAAACATGCATACACACACACAGCAATAAGACACATGCATCTGCACCTACCAGCACAAGTGCACACCTCTCATACCCGTGTACCCATACACAGAAATACACACACATACACACAACACACACAGACACCCCCCCACAGGTTGCCATAAATTCAACATGGCATTCTATAATCTATATTCTATTCTGCATATATTCCTCTCAAAGAGGGACTAGATTCATATCATCAATTTTTATTTTTAGAAATATCCTTTTAGGCAATTTTTAAATCTTGGTATCTTTATGACACATTAGTGGCAGGCAGTCCGTATTTCCATGCATATTTACTTTGTGGCTAGTCTAAATTACTGTGTTTTCTGCAGTTTAGACCTGCCTCCCCTCTCCTACTGCCTTTAGAAATGGAGAGTGATGGGCAATGCACGACTAATTGAGAAGGCCAGAATGGCACTTTGTGGGGAGGTCTGCACAGGCAAAGAGAATTGCAAAATCGAAGCCGGTCATTGAGTAAGACAGAGAAAACGAAGGTACATTTGTTCTGCTTGTCTAAGTGTGGCCCTTCTTTCTTTGCTTTCCTCAGCTTTTTATGACCCAAGCAGTTAGAAGAAGGAAAATGTGTGGGTACCTTGCAAAGGCCCTCTGAAATCTGAGTTTCATTTGTTTTGGTTGTTAATGATTGAACCTGTTGTATATAGTCTCAAAGTGGGGGGGGCAAATAGACTAACAGAGGTAATTAATATGTGTGGACAATAAAGAGGAATGCTTATCTCACAGGTGGTCTGCAGGTGTGGGGTGTGGACCTAGATAACTGTCTTTAAGAGTCATATCTTTATGGAGAATTCATATATATATATATATATATATATATATATTTGAAAGAAAGATACTGTTTGATTCTGGCTTTAGGATCTTATTTCTTTGGAGATGTCAGTAGAAACTGGTAAGAGATTCTGAGGTGAATGGTATGTATTATTTCTCTCTCTCTCTCTCTCTCTCTCTCTCTCTCTCTCTCTCTCTCTCTCTCTCTCTCTCTGTTTTTTGAGACAGGCTTTCTGTGTGTAACAACCCTGGCTGTCCTGGAACTAACTCTTGTAGACCAGGCTGGCCTTGAACTCACAGAGATCTGGCTTTCTTTGTTCCCAATGGGTTTAAAGGCATGCACCACCACCACCAAAATGGTAGTTTGTTAATAACATGTTTTTTTTCTTTCTATTGTTTGTTTCTATATGAATTGATACAGTGTGTGGATGAAGGACAATAAATACTTAATCTGTAGTACTTTCTGTAATCAATCTAATGGTCTCCATCACAAGGATAAAAAAGGATGCTGGCCTTACTTCCTTTACTTTTGTCCTCGGGAGAGATTGAAGAGCAAAAAATAGGCAAAACTGCACCATGGCCTGCTTGGGCTTAGTTTCAAGGCTTCCGTGAAGTATACAGGAAATATGGGATAGACGCCAATGGCCTTGGTCTAACTCCACTACTGTCAGCAACGTTAGAGAGTACATGAGTTCTAGGTGACTACCTGCAAAGGAAATGTGAGGATTTTAATTGCTCTGGAACATTTATGGCTTAAGCATATAAACGTCCAATACTCAGACAATGAATTGAAATTGATCGTGCAGACCAGAATCATTGCTTAATGGCATGGGAGACTTGTAGGCTTATGAACACCCTCGATCACTATAAATAAATGCTTCTTACTATTTTATAATTTGGCTTTAATTCCTCAGAGCCGTCAAACCTCAATGAGAATGCAACACTAAAGACTGTGTTTTTCAATATGTTAATAATGTGAAACTGTATTTAGAAATCTTTATGTCCTATTTAGAAGTAGATTAAAGGCAGCAATATTATTTTTGGAGGCACCACACAGTTACTGATCAGAATGACTTCAATCAGTCTTCAATTTGCTTCTATTCAGGATTGCAGAGAAAGCTGCATTTTATAATGTAATCTGAGAGAACCCACAACTTCTAAAACCCTAGGGGAATGTTTTTGTATTGCAGAAGAACTAGACGATGGTGCCTGGGAGTCACCATGGCTGTCTGGTTGTCTTTCCTATTCTGTTCCTTATTAAAGGCTCTAGGAAAAGTGACTTTTTCTCACCCACGGTGACAGTTAGGAGATTCTTTTGCTCAAATCATCCCCAAGAAGAGAATGGAATTCGTGTCCCTTAAACAGTTGCCAATTCTGCTACAGAAGATTAAATGCCCCTATCATACATGCCATACCCTACAGTTAACAAGAAAGAGGGTCAATGTAGCGTGGCCCCATCTCTACGGTGACCTCAGTGGGACCGTCAACCGGGCCTAAGGGCCTTCCACTTCCATGTGGTGCAGCAGCCAAGATAGTCGTCAAAAAATGAACAGGACTATTAAAGGGCTATCGTTGCATTTTGGGATGTTTAAGATTATGAACCCCCTTTTGTGTGGCTCTAAACTTCTAAAGCAGGGATGTCTGGTTAGGGGCAAAGACATTTGGGTTGTGGTTAAGTCCACCTGTTTACATCACGGAAGACCATCTAAGGGTCACTGCTTACCTGTGAAGTTGATTTTCAGCAAATAATCCTTGTACAATTTCTTTCCGTCCAGGATCTTCATCGCATCACAGAGCTTGGTGGTGTTAGGACAGAGGGTACGCTGCATCTTGTGCAGCGCATGCGCCATGGCATAGACTGCGTTCACCACAAACATGATCTTGGATTCTTGCTCATAGTTGCTGCTGTCAATGGCCAGGTGCTTGTCGCAAACCCGTCTGTGGTTTCTCTTGTTCTGGAGGCTGCACTGGAACTTCTGCTCCCAGAAGTCTCGGAACCAGGGGTTGCGGTGATTGTTGTAGGGGTTGAGGCTCTGGAAGTAGCGGTCGAACTGGCGAACAGGATGGGACGCCAGCTCCAGGGTGATGGCTCCGTAGGCTACGTGCTCACTGCCCTTGACGATGCTCTCCTGCGCGCCCCAGCCGTCGCTGGCCACCCAGGTGAAGGAGGCATTCACGCGGCTGGCTGCGGCGATCAGCTCTCGGGAGTCATCACTGCGCATGAATAGGACCACGACGCGCGCGTTGGGCTTCTGCAGCAGCTCGCGGATCACGCTGTCGTAGGACTTGCGAATGTTGGAGCGGCCCACCTTCTCCGCAGTGGCGATGCAGATGTTGCGCAGCCGGGCTTCCTGCTCGAAGGCCTCAATCCCCGTCTCCCCGTAGTCACCCTCAGAGGCGACAGTGGACACATAGGTCCAGTTGAAGAAGCGCAAGATCTCGGCCATGGCTTTGGCCTGGTAGAAGTCAGGAGGCACGGTCCTGGCAAAGTAATCATAGCGCGACTTGTCGCTGAGTTTGGCGCTGGTGGAGGCGTAGCTTATCTGAGGGATCTGGAAGAGCCTCAGCAGGTTTGCCACCTGAGCAGAGAGACAAGGAAAGCACCTTTAAAAAAAAAAAACCTCAAGCAAATGATTGTGCATAAGAAATATTAACACAATTCACGTCTGTTAGCAGCTTCTTTTTCATGTGGAGGTCACTTCTTGAGACCTTAGCCGGATGCTTTCCTGGGTACAGTGTTTAGATATTGGGGAGCCAGTACGAAGCAGGTAGTGTATGTTTTGGGGAGAGCACGTGAAAAATGGAAGGTCATCATGACTGGAGCTTCTTCAGCTCGGCGCTAGACTCTAGGCTAATGAAACCCGTTCAGAGGCTCTGAACGTGGGTTCTTTTAAGCTCTTGAGGTCCTGCTATAGCTCAGCCAGACAATGAACTACAGTGAAGTGGCCAAATTCAGTTTTCAGACAACTTGGCTGTGGCTGTATAGAAAGAGCCCGGTGTTTAATTTTCACTTCCCCCTCTTTTGCTAAAAATGGCAATCTCTGAAAGAGTTTAATTTGGGAACAGCGTGCCACATGGACAGTCCAAATTAGATATTTATTATCTGGGTTAACACAAAGGGAAAAAATTCAATTCTATTTAAATTCTATTCCGATCATCCAAAATTTTAGGTATATAATTTGATAAACTTCTAAAACTACAGTAACTTTTTCTTTGCCTTGTTTTTTCTTAAAATTTGTAAAAGGAAAGCATACAGATATGCTATCGTACTTTTGGTTAAAAATCAAGTCAAGAACTATTGACTCTGTTAAGAATGATTGACTACTTTGAAATAGTTAAAGCCTATGCTGAGTAAAAAAATTAAAGTTTTTATAAGTCAGCTATCAACATTTCACTATTTTTATTTATTGTACGAGAAAAAAAGAATGTTATCCCAGTTTATCAAGGAGTGCTGCATAGATAATTTTAAAATTGTATAATTGTACAGATCAAAGTATATTATATACATATTCCAATAAGATATACAGGATGGCACACACATTCAATCCCAGCACACTGGTGTGTGTGTGTGTGGGGGGAAGGAGTCGACAGAGGTAGGCAGATCTCTGAGTTTGAGGCCTTGTCTATAGAGTGAGTGCTAGAACAACCAGGGCTGCACAGAAAACCCTGTCTCGAAAACAAAACAAAACAATTAAACAAGAGTTTTTTTTTTTTTTTTTTTATTCTTCCTGACTTCTGAAAGGTTGGCTTTGTGGACTTTACGTTACATAACTCTCTCTGTCAACTTTAATAGGCCAACAAGTTGAGTATTTCTGAAGACTATATCCTGGAATGAGTTTAGGTCCTTTGAAATTTTTTTTCTGGCAAGTGAAGTTTTGCGTTTACATACGACGTGCAGAGAGATCAGCTTGAGATGGGCTGCTCTGAGCCCAACAGAAGCAACATGAAGCCATGGACATCTGAGTCCTGATTAATACACATTTCATGTAGCAAAGGAAACCATCAACCAGGTTTATACACAGCGACACAGCATGGAATTGGAGAGCTGGCCTGCTATTAAGAATAACACAGATATAGTCAGAGCTATAAAAACATTTCCCAATTCCAGTAACTCTCACGTAACTCCGGCTGGGAAATCTGAGATGTGGTACACCAAATAATAGAGAAATTAGAACCTCAAGTGGAGGCGAAAGGTTGGCTGTATCGGAGGAATGTAGCTCTACTCTGCTAAGGACAGAATGACATGTCTACACTGACCCATCAGAGCACAGTGATGACGTGCCTACGCTGACCCATCAGAGCACAGAACACAGGGATGACGTGCCTACACTACCCATCAGAACACAGGGATGACGTGCCTACACTACCCATCAGAACACAGGGATGACGTGCCTACACTACCCATCAGAGCACAGGGATGATGTGCCTACACTGCCCATCAGAGCACAGGGATGACGTGCCTACACTACCATTAGAACACAGGGATGTCGTGCCTACACTGACCCATCAGAACACAGGGATGTCGTACCTACGCTGACCCATCAGAGCACAGGGATGCTTTTTCTTACTCAGGCTAAGTGCAGGCGGCCCTGAATTGGTACTGTCATTACTCCTAGTACCTGACTTCCACTGGACTTATGTGCCACTATGGCAACTGTGCAGAGACCTGGATATTTTGGGTAGCAGAAGAAAGGACATTTCTTCTTGAGGCAATGCTTTTATTATCTTCAAGTTGGAGTCACTAGAACTTGAATCCTCTAGGGAGACATAAAATGAGAGAAACTAAACAAAAATATACCCAGAGGCATTATTTCCTGGAAGTGAGGAACCATAGTTCCTAAGCTGTTGAAATTTTCTTCTCCCAAAGGGGTAAGGAAGTGTTCAAGATAAAAAACGTTCTTGTCTTTTGACTGCTAGATCCTTATGGTGTTATGTCTGCCTCTCCAGAATGTCTGAGAACAACTTATGGTTAAGAAAAGCTGCACAGGAGAGTGAGTTAGCTCCAACATAATGGCAGCATGAACCTCTGTACTGAGAAAATGTGGGGTGAGCTGAAGCTGCTTGAGAAAGCGGTGAGCTAGTATAAGAGACTGACTATTGCCATTGCTTTTACTGCGGCTGTATATGCTCCCCTGCGTGTGTGCTTAAGGGAGCTACAGTTAACTCTAGAAAAACGAGGCAGACTTGCTGAGGTAGGATATAAGGATGGATCTTTTGTATGTACAATATTAACTATGTCATCTATATTGAACAACATGGAGCAATAATATGAAGAAATGCTATTCAGACTTACATTATAAACACATTTACAACAAATTAATAATAGGGTAAAGTATTGAAATACTCTTTATTATGGTGAACTGTTCATTTAAAATTAGTTTCCTTAGTTATAAAAAGTAATAATTCTGAATTTGTAAGCAGATACCATAGAAGAAAGATTATTGTTCCCTTTTCCTCCCTCCTCAGTCTAATCTTATTTCTACAAAACAATATTCAAAATTTGGTATTTGCATTTTTATGGATCCACTTAGAAAATCTATGACTATTTATATTGATTGTGTGTGTGTGTGTGCTTGTGTGTAGGTGTGTATGTCTAAATCCACACGTGTATTTTCTTTTTGGGTACTTATGAAGGACTTTTGATATAAATATTATCTTCATTTCAACATACAAAAATGAATTCTACAAACTCATGAGATCTTTCCATAGTTTTACCGTTAGAGCATAGCAGAAAATCAAAATGCAAAACTAGGTGTTTGGCTTCCAGTACCACGACTCTGCTCTTCTACCTCCCTCTATACCTCTACTGTGTGGGCATCATTTTGAGACTTGAAGTGTGGAAATATTCAGCCACAGAGACCATAGATAGAGGAGTAGCGGTAGAGTTTGCTGTGTATCATCCACTACATACCTGATGTCAGTAGGCGTGCTTGTTTGTGCATGGTCATGTGTGAATGCAAATGCATGCCTACCACAGCACATATGTGTAGTGAAACTTTAGGGGGTGGTGCTCACCTTCTACCTTTCCAAATAAACACAGGCTTCTGGGGGTTCTTTTGTCTCTAGCTCTTCTCTTGCCCTAAGAAAGGTAGGGTCACAGACGTGTGCTACCACATCTAACTTCATGTGGATTCTCGGGATTCTCTTTCAGGCTTTGTGTTTACTGCTAATGCAGTTAGTGACCCAGTCACTGGTTCTCTCTACAGACCTCTGAGCTTTTCTTTTTCTAATGTCAAATTGAAAATTTGGGGTCGAGAGATGTCCAGTGTGTTGTCAGCTGAGTTTTCTGTCTCATTTGTTGAAAAACTGGGCCCTTAGAACATTCTTGACTTGCTAAGTGGCCAGATGGTTTCTTGGCGAAAGCATGAGGAAGTGAAGAAAACTCCTACACTGGACATCATTTTGAATGATAAAGGAAGCACCTTCTAAAGATGGGGAAGTAGTGTGAAGTTTGGAAGAAAGCTACCCTGTTATGTTATTATTAGTAGGAGAGGAAGGAGGAAAACCAAGATCTATTTATATGTTTTAGACCAAAGCATTTTCAAAGATTTGTCCTTTGTATAAGTAGAAATTATTTGAGCAATATAGTTTAAGAGAGAAAGAAGGATTTAAAAATAATTTATACAATATAGTCCCCATAAGAAAGAGAAGATAATCCCCAAGTCCCACTGGTGGATGGGATGCATGAGAGGATTGAGGCTAAGGAATAAGGGAAATAGATGAGTTGGGAGTATATGTGCTCAGCGTGAGACTGAGCATGAACTCATGAGAAGTGTAGACAGTACAAAACAGAATATGAAATGGAAGGGGGTTTGTTATTGCTTTTGTTTTACTCTGCCTTGTCTTTCAAGAGAAGACACAGTAGGTAGGAATGGAGCTAATGGCTGAAGAAGTTGATTTTGTAAGTATAACAATGTCTGTATGGATGTCTGTAAGCACAGAACCTGGATGGGCTAAGGCAAGAGAATGGGGAGCATGAGGCTTGCATGGGCTTCATAGAGAGATCCTGTCTTTAAAAGTGGATGCCAATATTATCTCCCCCCACTTACTTCTCAATCAAATGCAATCTAACATGGAAATGGTGATGGAAATAAAGATAATATGAAGTATTTATCTCACAACAAGTATCTCCAGAATGTAAGAAAAGCTCATAAAATCATATTCAGTTTGCTGCTATTGATGCATTCCAGAAAATTCTGGAAAAGATTAAATTATAGAATTATTTTCATCGATCCATAGTGGAAGGAGTGAAGTGTGGTAGAAGAGGAAGAAGACAAATTCAGAAAACATAAAAGAAGAATAGACATAAATTTCAGGCACAGTTTTGGCAATTTTCTAGCTCCCAGTGTTCAAATAGATACAGCACCAATACTTAGAAATGAACGAAGCAATCATTAGGAGTCAGGATGGGCTTAGGATGAATATGTTTCCTTTTCAGCATTGGCTGGACCATTTGAAGAAGAATTACAGTCTGGAGTACTATGAAGAACTATAGAGGATCATGGAGGTCATGACTTCAACAAAGCGTTCATGACATTACCTGGCATCTTGTGCAAAAGGAAAAGAGATAGAAGTTGGA